CCCCCCCCCCCCCCCCCCCCCCCCCCCCCCCCCCCCCCCCCCCCCCCCCCCCCCCCCCCCCCCCCCCCCCCCCCCCCCCCCCCCCCCCCCCCCCCCCCCCCCCCCCCCCCCCCCCCCCTTAAATAAAATATTTAGCTAATCATATTAAGATTTCATAGTTAAAAGTAACAGCAGGAAAGATATGCATAATCTTATTTTGTCTTCTACAAAAACGTTTGAATAAAATCCAGACTAACAAGAAAAGAAACTCACTATTTTCATAATAATGCCATAATTTTGAATGCTGGCATTTATTGTTTAGCAAGTTGAATATAGATTGTTTAAAATAATTTACAGAGAATTTAGTGAGTAATATAAACGAAACAGTTTCAAATGCTAGCGTTATTGTTATAATCAAACAACCGATACAACTGACAATAGCATAAATACGTATATATATAGTCTAACAGTACACTGAACTATACAGATGTGTGTGAACAAAGAATATTAAAAATTTATAGAATTTTCTTTACGTAGAACAAAAGGTATAGTATACACAATGAAGGGTTTCACTTATTACAGGACAAAGCCACAAATAAATAAAGAACATAAACAGATTCTCCTAGAAAAAGCTTTGTACAACTTGAACTTCTTAATCCGTCGATCTGTGTAATATGCTGAGTTACAATACAATAGTACTACAGTTGTCTTTTCCCTGCCTTTGCTATAATAAAAGGTAAAATAGCCTATCTTATAGGTTAGAGAATGCTCTACAAACTTAATTTGTAATAGAATTTTATTAGCATTTACCGTTGTCAAAACTCTTGGAACCTTATCTCTTCGTATGACCACCCAGAGCACACTGGGCAACCACGTGGATATTTGGTAAAATTTTGAAAGTATACTTTTTCAAGATTTGACGACCGCCTAATATATTGTGAAATAAAGGCTATATAACCACATAATTCTTTTTATTCCAGCTCTCGCAATTAGCCAGAGAAATTTAGAGCGCAAAACTAGTGGAAAAATGCGCGTAGTAAGAGAAAAAATTTTTCATTAATTAAAAAATTCATAACCCAGTCAAAATTCATCCAGGCTACTTCAGAATATTAATATATACTCTATTTATGTGCAGTACACTGTACAGCTCATAAATGTTTTAAAAACTAACAGAAAACACTTTAGTTTTTGGAAAGGTTTCCCAAAAAACTATCGGAACTAAGAGAGTATTTTTCAGTGATCTTAAATACAGAATCAAATAGAGCGGTTAAAATAGCTTATATCTTGATATTCCGATGTAGCTTGGATGGATTTTAACTGAGTTAGGAATCTTTTAAGTTTTGATGAAAATAGTCGAAAATTATTATTTCATCTGGTACATGTTTTTACTCAATTCTTGCATTTTCCTCCGAAGACTAACATTGCCATGAGGCCGTGGTCGGTAACCTATGTCTTCATGTATTTCTCAAAGTTCTAGATTGAGGAATGAAGAAATCCCAAGGCATCGGGAAAAACGTCTGAAGTTCACTAACCAAGCAAAATGAAACTTTTGCTTACTTCTTAGTTTGTGGAGAACACTTTGGACTATTCATCTGTAAAAGAAAAACGATACATTACTGTATTGATGTTCAGAAATCTGAGGTGGTTTTCTAAAGATCTTCTAGAAATCCGATCTTCCAAATACTTCCGAAAGACGATTTGGTTTATGGAAGTATAGCTTAATGTGTCTTTTATCGATTGCTGAAAACCATACATCCCTATCTTTTATCGTTTCTAAGTTATTTGAAAAACAACCGAGTGCCTTATATTTTGGCGCCGATAAAAGTTAAAACTGGAATTTCCACTGACAAGAATCCAATGGAAATTGAAATTTTAAGCTCCATTAGTGGAGTTTGAAACTTTAATTTCAACTGTAACATATACATAAACATTAAACCAAAAAACTTTTATAGTCAGTTTCAGAAAATTTTCTCATGTTGTATATTTTCAGAAATCAGCCCAAAAAGTGTTAGATGAACTTCGGGAAATTGGTTCAGTGGATGATGTTAGAAGAGAATTATTACAATAGAATGAGTATCGCCAATTGGACAGCGTCGCCTATATAAGAACAGAGATGAATACAAATCAAGAGACAATTACTAATCTTCATTAGCAATTGTTCAATATGCATGAGAATACTGTGGCTCAATCAACGTGAAGTTCATTAGCTAACGACTTCGAACAGTATTCTGAAAAAAAGTCTGAACACCAAGTTATCGATACAGTGAAATCATTGATATTATCTGAACATAATTAGCAAGTCAGAGTATCAAATATCGCGGCGGACCCGTAGTTGGTGGCATTATGTGGAAAATGTAGGAGGAATATAAACATTCGAGCCGTGTGTTCTTTTGTTGTTTTATTATTCTTTTGTGATTGATAAAAGCAAATGTCGAGTATGGATTATATTTTATAATTTGATGTTATCGTTTTCTCGTATTAAATAAATTACATACTTGAGAGGAAAAACAGATTTAGAATTTATACGAGTTCAGGAGTCACTATGGAGGAGAATCAGTTTGAGAGATTGATGTATGAACCTATCAAACGTTAGACTTTCACAAAGACAAAGGTGTTCTCAATGATATTCCAGTATGGCTTATGGAATAAAAACCTCAAAAACCTTGGTTAAAATCCTTCTACGTTATTGTCTGTCAGGAATAATTTATAAGATGCCGAGATAGAGCTGAGCAAATGATCGGATAATTCAAGATGTCTACTGTCAGAATCTATATTGATCTGATCGTTATCAAATCCTTTGGAGGATTTTTCTAATACTTTTATAAAAAACGTTCAAGTGAAACATTTTTTAAAAAGCCGTTCAACTGCCGGCTTTTATCAGACATACACGACATAGTGAACTCATTTCCTTGTGAATTTTTGTGCTTGAAACATTGTAGGCAGTTTGAATGGTCAATGAAATAATGCATTGTGTTGAATAGGCTGCAAATTGGTTACAGATATCAGTTTTTATTGAATTTTCTACGATTAATGTTTTCTATAATCATAGCTTGTGTTTCGTGCTCATAGTCGCCTAACTGCAACATGTCATTTGAATGAAACATCCTTGTATAGATATATAAACATATGAACGGAGTACAATGATATATCGGCGATAGATTAAGATATAGAAAACATTAGTGGGTTCTACTGTATTCTGCTTTTAGTGTGAAGCTATCACTTATTTTAACATACAATTTTGGAAAGTAGTCTTAAGTAGCGTCATAACAGTAGATAGTCAAAATAATACTTGTGTTTTATGATCTCATTTGCTCTTTATTCACCTTTTGCAGTAAGAGATTTTGTTTAGAGCGTACTGTACAAAAATCGTCGACTTTGAAAATTTTCAATAAATATCGCATAACACTCTTGGAAAAAGTGAACTCTGTCGTATTTTCCCAATAATTTCGACACATTTTATTAGTTCTCTTCCTGTAGCTGTGATATATCGTGTTGAGAGAGCTGCTTTAACGCAAATGTCACACAGTTGATGGATGCTCTGAAAAAAACAAGACGGGACTGTATGTATAATATAACAATTCAATATGATAATGAGTACTTATTCCTGAAAGATAAAGTGGCCATTTATAGATTTTTTGAACACTGTTAATTGACAAAATTTTCCTTGTCAAAAGCTATGATACACAGACGCCTGTTTCTACTTGTTCCATCACCTCGTGTATTATACTAGTATCAATGTCAACACTATAATCACAATATATTGGATAATAATTGGCCAATACATCGAGTTCAATATCTAGCGTACGATTGGAACAAGAACTATTCACAATATGTCAACCAATAATTAGTCACTATATATTAACTGAGATAGATACTCTACTCATGAAATAATTTTGATACCCAAACGCAGGTTAGCACGCGTTAAAAGAACTAATAGCTTAACGCGTGCTCACAATTTGGATGCTCTGGAAAGCGTGCAAACGTGTCATCTTTCGAACCTGTGTACGCCCGGAAATGTCTCAAAATTAATACTAACTCTGAAATTTGTTGGTAGAGCAGTTGGAAATAAGTATTTGTAAATCGAATATAGAACTGCTATGAATAACATGACTTTCAGTCTTGAAAATACTTTATTCGAGCTTTCGCCAGCTTTCAGTTGGCATCA